TAAGGATCAGCTGAGCGTACCTACAATGCTGATGACAAAGAGTCAAGACAAGAGAGAGATACAGGAGAGAAGAAGGAATCGAGTAACACCAGATGAGGGGATTAGAATCCAGAGCGAGCCACAGCAGGTGAACCGCCGGGCCTTAGAAGGTACACCTCTTCCATCGCAAACGAAGGAGAGGAAATGGGGACGCTGGCAGATTCTAAAGGTTTGGCGCAAGGTAGCCGATGGAATTTCAGTTAGTTGGATTTTACTTATCTCCGTAAAGTAGTCCTGGAGTAAAGGGTCTTGCATCGAGGTAAATCGAGGAGTAAAGGTTCTTGCATCGAGGTGTGGCGGGTATCTGCAGGGGCCAGAGGCCAAGGCTGGCTAACGCTAGGAGAGACCCCTAGTGGAGCCCCGAGAGGGACGCCGTGGGGCGCTGCTATGGCAACAGAACCTTGGGGCTAGGCCTACTGTCAGCTGTAACCCACCAGAGTCGCGGCGTTTTAACACACCTTTTGGGATAGCAGATGCGGTGCCAACCCCAGGAGTCCAAAACGAGACCACGGATACCGAGCCAGGAGAGTCTCAAATTGCAAAACTAAAGTGACGCAACTGCCACGCAGCGCACCGGAGAGTACTAAACGTCATCTCCTCGCGACGCTGTCGCGGTAATAGGACGTTCTCCCGGAAGTGGGATCCAGATCGGGCCGTGAAAGTGGCAGCCGGTGGTCACCGAGAGCAGATCTGGGGAGGTCGCACCTGACCTATTTCTCTACGTTTCCTCTCGACCCTACCTGAATCTTCCAGGTCCGCGGAGTGAGGAAACGTCTCCACCACCATGGGGGGCGGAGACTTGGTAAGTGAGGGAGGCCTGGGCGGGGGAAAACTGAGGCCGGAGACGGACTGGCGCTGGGGACAGGAATTGGTGGGGGTGGGAGTGGTAACCGTGGCAACGCAGCTTTGTTTGTCGTGTGAGAGGGAGCCGTAGCCCTGGAGAGCGAACGGATCACTAAAGCCACTAAGGGGCGAGGCGGACAATTGGGAATGTGTGCCAGGTGTGTCGCTAGCGGTGGCAAGTGGTGTTGTGTGTTTGTTGGCGGGGACCCTCCCGGCTGGAAATTCTGGGAAGGCCCGGGGGGCGGGAGTTGGAAACATGGGAAGAAAGCAAATATCGAGGTTGGGGCCCGCAGACCTTATTTTGGATAGCTTGTTTTGGGACACAACTCTCTTCCTCAGCTAAGAGTTCAGTCACGTCCTGGTTTGTGCACCATTCTCCTCTCCCCTGAGCCATGTCCTGAGGTCCATTTTAAGCCTGAAGAGATCTTCTTCATGTTCACCTTTCTGACCTATGCTTCTCCTTCAATGCTGCATTTTGATCTTTAGTGACAGAACTTTCTTCTGGGTTCATAGTACTTGATATAAGCTATGCGGCAGTTTCTCTGAAACTATATAGTTCATCCGTAGGGATCTAAGGCCCCTACGGCAAATGACCCACAAGAGCATGTTGCAAGATCAGAAAAATGCTAACGTCTTGAAAGTGTAGCTAATTGAATTAGTAAACTGATCAATTTAGCCACCTTGTTCAGTAACTGTCTTAGATGTGTCAGGTGTTAGATTAGAATGAGGTGCAAGACTCCATCAAACTTGCTCTGATTTAGTATATTCAGGTAACTGCATTTAGGGACAGGAAGGCTCTAATCTAGGTTTTTTCAGCCTCAGTGCTATTGACATGTGGGGATGGATAATTCTGTGTGTGTGTGTGTGTGTCTGTGTGTCTGTGTGTCTGTGCGTCTGTGCACGCACACACAGTCCTGTGTATTGTTTAGGATGTTTAGCAGCATCCCTGTCCTTCAGCCACTAGATGCCAGTACCACCCTTTTCCCCAGTGTGACAACTAAAAATTTCTCCAGACATTGCCACATGTACCCAGGCGGCAAAATCAACCATGTTTAAAGGAGGGAGAGGAGAACCAGGAGGACAAGGTTGGCAGGAGGTGGGGATGGTGGGGAGGAAGGAAAGAAGGAAGGAAGGACTGGACGACCTGATGAGGGGAAAGGAAGGACAAGAAGACAGAAAAGGAAGGAAAGGGAGACCTCATTGAACACCTTCCACATGCCAGGTATCTTGTATACATTTTCTCATTTAGACTTCTTAACTGGTCTCCTGGTCTTCAATCTTGGTCCTCTCCAGTCTATTCTTCACATGATGCTATTCATGCAAGTCACCTGCATATGATTGTTTAGTGTTTCCTACTGCCAAAAAAATAAAGTCCAATCCCTTAACATGGTTTCTAAAGTCCTTAATCTGTTCTTTCCTTGGCTGGCTTCATCTTGAGCCCCCTCTCCATCAGCTTACACTCTGTCTCCAGCCACACTGAATTATTTGTGCTATGTTCTTTCTTACCATTGGGTCTGCACCTGTGTGTGCTGTTCCCTCTGTTTGGAAATCTTACCCCATCGTCCCCTCTTCCTACATCATCATACTAACTTATAATTGTCCTTAGATGTTACTTCCTTCAGGAAACCTTCCCAGAT